AGTTTCAACACAAATATGTGAACAGGACACTACTGTGTATCCATTTAAGATCGAGATCCACATCATGGCTGTGTGATTGCCAGGGAAAAACCATCAAATGAACATTGATTTTAATTGCACTAGTACTTGTATTCAAAAAATGAAGTGAATTTGGTTCACAAACTATATGAATTTAATGGATTTCTTATATTGATTTAACAAATTACGGATATAGCGAAGCGATTTTATAGGTCCGTGTGATTTCATTATAACCGAGTTTTACTGTATATGTTTCAAATTCCAATTATTTTGACAATATTGATAACTACCATGTTTTACGAATCTGCGATTTTACAGCACATTAATGGGTAAATGTTAGAGGATATAGATCAAGCTGATGCAGTGATTCACATTAGTAAAAATATTCAATTTGCTGTGATTTAAGATCATATTTTAAAAGCGATAACACAAAAGTAATTTGAACAGTGTACATAATTTTTTTTATTGGAAAACCATGGGCAGACAGCTCATCCGAATGCTTGCACGAATGGTTATTTGCAACCCTGCTGTTTATTGTGAAGATTACCATATTTAATGGATGGAAGTATTATTTAAATAAAGATATAGCAGTTTAAAATCAAATATAAAATCAAATTTTTGCAGTTTATCCTTCAGAATATGATTAAAAATAATAGAAATTGACTGCAGATACAGGCAAGTATTAATGAATTAGAATACTATTTATACCACAGAGTAACCAGACAGCCTGATTCCCCCATCATCTTTCAGTGAGAAGTTCTGCAGGAGGAGGAATTTGGATCTTCTCAAGTTGAGTTTCTGGATGAATTTTTCAGGCGTGCTAAACTCACAGAGTAGGCTGTAGTTGGATGATTTTGATAAGACGTTTGTCATGCCGTATACTTTTCCTTCCTCGCCCGTCTTCTCTTCGTGTTCTCAAGAATGTACACTTTCATTTTTGTTCCCTGAAACTAAATTTAAACAATACATTTTATAAACATGGCCAGGAAGCAGTGTTATATGTATGGGAGTGTGAATCAAATGTTTTAAAGTATGGAATAACATACAACATTAATTTGAATCTTAAATGAAATAAATCAAACTAATCTTGATTAAAATTATAATAACTCAGTTGAGCAAACACAATGTGAATTAATCATCTATTTAAATCAATTTCTCACTGCAGACAACAAGGTTGTCACAATGATCGATTTATAATCGATGATCGGTCGGAGAGGCTGTTGATTTTAGACAATGGATTTGAGATTGTAACAATCGATTAATCGGTACATTTCAGCACCTATCTTTTATTAGAGTGTTCTCACTTTTATTTAAAGAACAGGCTCTTGTTATAAAAATAAATATCTTTCAAGAGTTCTCCTTTACTATTTTTAAATAATTGTACTTAAGGTATCCGACCCACATTGCAAAAAAAAAAAAAAAAATCAGTGACACTTTTTATGGCATAGCTATGTTAAACACTTCCATTTGAATGTATTTACACATTTATAAAAAAAAAAATACCAAGGGAAAATAAAAAAGGCATGTTTTCCCTTGCCTCCCTTTAATTTTCAGAAATCCATCCGTATACTGTATTCAATTTACAAACACATCATAGCATTGTACATATTGTAATAATCAAGTGCACACAAGGCAATGTCCATGACAGTTATGTATTGTAACTGACCATTCTGTTGCACATCATTATTGAACATGCCTATAAAATTATGAAAATGCTTACATTCTTGTTTCATCAACTTGTTTTCCAAAACTTTCCTTATTTTAGACATTGGTCATACAAACAGCATTCTCCTGCGCATCAAATCAACTGAGATATGAGATAACTGCATATGGTTTTCCCATCAAAAATGAAATAATGTGTAAAAACACTATTTCTGAAAATAACGACAGAGCTTAGGGATAATATCCCCAAGTAGTCGCTTATCTTTGGTAACCCTTGGTTTATCTATACTGTTCTTTGCAGACAATACATTCAACAAACCATGCATCCTCACCATCTCTTTGCCATACAAGTTTCAAATGATGTACATTCAAACCTGAACCAGCAATGTTTTCAGTAGTTGCTTTTTAGGTCACCTGAGTAAACTCAGGTGACCTATTGCTATCCGTTTTCGTCCGTCGTCGTGCGTCGTGCGTCGTGTGTCGTGTGTTAACATTTGAACATTTTCAGCTTCTTCTCTGCAACCACTGAACCAATTTCAACCAAATTTGGCACAAAGCATCTATGGGTGAAGGGGAACAAAAATTGTGAATTTCATGATCCCTGCCCCCCTGGGGCCTGAGGGGTGAGGTCAAAACCACTAAAATTAATGCAATCTTGAAAAATCTTCTTCTTTACTCCTGGACATTAAGCAGTCAAACTATTTGCATGATTGTAATCAGCATTGAGTCCTCTACCAAATTTGTGAAATTCATGGCCCTGGGGTCAGGGGTTCTAGTGCTAGGGCGGGGCTAAATAAGTATACAGTGAAAATGCATGAATTCTTTGAAAATCTTCTTCTCTGCTCCTGGGTATTAAATAAACCAACTAAGTGCATAGTTATGATGAGCAATAGTGCCTCTACCAAAATTGTGAATTTTATGGCCCCAGGGTCAGGGGTTCTGGTGTTAGGGTGGGGCTCTATTGATTATATAGTAAAAATACATGATTTCTTTGAAAATCTTCTTCTCTGCCCCTGGGTATTAAATAAACCAAGTAAGTAAATAGTTATGATAAGCAAGAGTGCCTCTACCAAAATTGTGAATTTTATGGCCCCAGGGTCAAGGGTTCTGGTGTTGGGGGGGGGGGGGGCTCTATTGATTATATAGTGAAAATACATGAATTCTTTGAAAATCTACTTCTCTGCTCCTAGGTATTAAATAAACTAACTAAGTGCATAGTTATGATGAGAAAGAGTGCCTCAACCAAAATAGTGAATTTTATGGTCCCAGGGTCAAGGGTTCTGGTGTTGGGGGGGCTCTATTTATTATATAGTAAAAATAAATGAATTCTTTGGAAATCTTCTTCTCTGTTCCTAGGTATTAAATAAACTAACTAAGTGCATAATTATGATGAGCAAGAGTACCTCTACAAAAATTGTAAATTTTATGACCCCAGGGTCAGAGATTCTGGTGTTAGGGGGGGGGGGGGGCATTATTGATTATATAGTAAAAATACATGATGTTTTGAAAATCTTCTTCTCTGCCCCTGGGTATTAAATAAACCAAGTAAGTAAATAGTTATGATGAGCAAGAGTGCCTCTACCAAAATTGTGAATTTTATGTCCCCAGGGTCAAGGGTTCTGGTGTTGGGGGGGGGGGTCTATTGATTATATAGTGAAATTACATGAATTCTTTGGAAATCTACTTCTCTGCTCCTAGGTATTAAATAAACTAACTAAGTGCATAGTTATGATGAGCAAGAGTGCCTCTACCACGATTGTAAATTTTATGGCCCCAGCATCAATGGTTCTGGTGGGGGGGGGGGACTTTATTGTTTATAAAGTGAAAATACATGAATTCTTTGAAAATCTTCTTCTCTACTCCTAGGTATCAAATAAACTAACTAAGTACATAGTTAAGATTGTGAATTTTATGGCCCCAGGGTCAAGGGTTCTGGTGGGGGGGTCTATTGATTATATAGTGAAAATATGTGAATTCCTTGAAAATCTTCTTCTCTGCTCCTAGGTATTATATAAACTAACAAAGTGCATAGTTATGATGAGCAAGAGTGCCTCTACCAAAATTGTGAATTAAATGGCCCTATCATCAAGGGTTCTGGTGGGGGGGGGGGCTCTATTGATGATATAGTGAAATTACATGAATTCTTTGAAAATCTTCTACTCTGCTCCTAGGTATTAAATAAACCAACTAAGTGCATAGTTATGATGAGCTAGAGTGCCTCTACAAAAATTGTGAATTTTATGGCCCCAGGGTCAGGGGTTCTGGTGTTAGGGTGGGGCTCTATTGATTATATAGTGAAAATACATTAAATCTTTGAAAATTTTCTTCTCTGTCTCTGGGTATGAAGCAGATGAACTACCTATATAGTTATGATGAGCAAGGGCCCTAATCTTGCAGAATTGTGAATTTCAAAGCCCAAGGGTCAGTAGTGGGGGATGGGGGCTCTACTTATATACTGGAAATGAATTAATTGTTTGAAATCTGGTCCTTTGTATTTATAAAACATTTATTTACTTTTTGATAGGCAATTTTAAGGGTGCCTTTTAAAAATTTGTGCAACTTACGGTCAGGGGTTTATGTCAGAGTGTTAGGGGTACTACTGATTATTGATGAATATTACTGATTAGTTGGAGTGCATTTTTGTTCCCCTACCCTGCATATGGGTATTCAGTAACCAAGTTAAGCGACTGCTAAGTTTACTGTTATGATGATCAATGGTGCTCTTTCAAAATTGTGAATGCCATATAGCATCTGACTTAATACATGTTATTGAATCAAATTCAATACACTGTAACTGGAAAGTTGTTGCATAATGCTCAGGTGACCTATAAGGCCCGTGGGCCTCTTGTTTCAGTACTCCACCTGCTATCAGACAATGCAATGAATCAATATTTCTTGATTTTGTGGCATTAAAAACCTCTTGCAAAAAATCACAATTTGCTGAATAGGAATGTTTGACAAACTCTGCCTTTGTCATTCCACTCTGGTACAAAATTTTTACCAACATATTTATATCATCAGTGGCGTTATGCGAGTTATATGATTCTTTGCAGAAGTATTCTGCCAAGTACTCTTGTTTATATGAACTTAGCTTTAGTACTTTAGAGCCCAACATTGAAAGTGAATCGACAAAAGCTTATACACATTTCAAAAACATATCGCTAAATGCTACTTGACTAATAGCATATGACAAAACTCTTAAGTCAATTACTCTGCCATTGTAAGCTATCAAAATAACACTGTCATTTTTTTTCAAAAATTCAAAAAATTTGGTAGGGCTTCTTTAATTGTAATAACATCTACATGTAAACCCTTCACAGTCATTTCCGTCCCAGTCCAAGAAATCCCTGTGACTTTTTCCTCGCTTTGGCAGTAATCGGGATGAGAGGCTTTACATACCACGAAAACTTCTCCCCACTAGCCATGTCCTGGGCAGCAATCTGGGTAATGTGTGGGATAATTCCTCTCTGGACTGAAAAAATATAACAAAATCAACTGGAACAAATAAATGTACGTAATTGTATACTTTTTTATCTTTTCTTTCTGAAAACAACTACCTATTAAATCCTTTAATATGAAAATATATACTTACTAAGCCCAGAAGTTTCAAGGTCTATAACAACATAGCTCAATTGGAGGTGAACTAAATTATCCACTTTGGTATATCCTGGCTTTGGAACAGCTTCAGGGATACTCTCTGTGTCAACATTTGGAGTCATACCCACTTCTACAATTAAAATTCAATTTTAAAGAAACTTTTCAACATCAAGAGGCAACAAAAGCATTGAGTTTGAAATACAAGTACCTGACTGATATGTGTCCCCCTCAGCTGCTTCCTTTGCCCCTTTCTGTGTCAATTTCTCTTGTTTCAGTTCCAGTCTACGACGTTTCTTCTGTGGTAATGCTGCTCTTTCCCGTCTCTTCTGTCTTTCCATATCGTTCTTACTGGCATTCTTCTGCGTGAAGTATCCTGGAGAGAGTCCATGATACTTAATTGCCTAAAAAAAAAATTTCAAATCATTTTTAGGCTATCTATTTTTGTCATCAAAATAAAGTCACATTGAAAACATGTTTTTGTTTTTGTTTTTTTTTTTTTTTACATATATTTATATATATAAATAATCTTATTACCAAAATATAATTGCAATCAGCATAAATTATGTCTTTCTGTTCAAATTCTATTAGCATTTCTTCATGTAGCCTGGTGAAGTGACAGTAAAAAAAGGGTAGTTGCAGCAACATAACTTGATTATGTTTAGGTCAAGTCCCGTTTTTGGTACGATCGCACCATTTTTGACAGAGTTTTGCCCCTTAGACTTACAAAGAGATTTCAATTTGAGGGAGAGGGATATAAGTGTTTTAAAAAACATCTCTTGTATTTCTTGATTGATGATTTTAAAGGCTAATTAATGGTACACGATGAAGCTTTGAAAATATTCTTTTATTCACTTAAATATTTTATTTCGATGATCAATTATATGTAAAAATAGATTTAAAAATGACTGTCATGTAATACTCTTTTTGGTATAGCCAACTTCATGTTTGGATTGACGTGTGGAAAGGGCTGTGGTGGAACTTCGGAGACTAAGATGACCCTCCAACAACAAACCATAAAAACCACTTCATCAGCTCAAAGTCAAATACTATGGTAGGGGTATTTGGAGAAGATGGCCAGAGTTGGTGAGGCACCAGTGTAACAACCTCTGGTTCACATCGGCGAAAAAGAATTGTCCTCTTGTGTTGTCGGTCTTCATAAAAGTAGTAAATGTTGCGAGTTCAATGCAGAACAATGAAAAAGTATGCACTAATAAAATCATTAACTTGGACTTCATTAGTATAATTATAATTATTCTTTAAGGGAATTACCTAAAACAAATTCACCACAGCCAAGTTTTTGATGGAGACAGTCGCATTATTTTTTTTTTTTTTTTTTTTTTTTTTTTCAAATCATTTATTCAATAATGCACAACATAACAGTGAGGTAAAACTTCCGCAGAAGCCCTCTGGTAATACTTCACCAGCGGTGCCAGGAGCTCCCTGGATCAATATAATATTATTTAATATATTTCCAATATATTTGAACACAGAATTTTTCACATTATGCTTATATATAATTATTGACTTCATTTTCATACATATACATAAGTATCTCAAAGAAAATTTTTACCACTTTTATATATAAAATCAAAGTATTCGTTTAACATCAATAGAAGCATGACCCTTGTTGCAGTGGAGATTGTGTAAAAAAAAAAAGAAGAAAAAAGTCTATATCAATCTCACTGTAACTAGTATTTAGGGCCAGGTCACCCTAAAATACTGGTCTTTTTTATGTTTTACATCTTAAAAACAGGATCAATATGCAGAGTTTTGTGATAATAAAATTAGATTATATATATATAAAAAAAAAAAACAACATCAGAATGAATGAATTTTACAAAGACAAATTTTTTTCCTCACATACATAATTTTAATCATATTTTAAACATAAAGTTTCCAGAACCATGAAAAATAACATAGCAAAACATATTGTGTCTTATAGTGCATTTAAAATTTGAATACATGTACATGTATATTGTTTATCACGGGAGCATACACTAGTCTTAGAATCACAAGTAATTTTGAAATACATGATTTATTTTCTCTTTGAAATTTGTCAAATCATGTGATTGTAAAAGTGAAAAATTCGATTTCATTTCATTTTTGAATGCGCTTTTAATGCTGAAGTCAGTTATTTTTAAATTCTCATATTTAATTTTATTTCTTGTTTTCCATATGACCCATTTATAAATACATATGAAAATGTTAACAACGTTTCTTTGGGTTTGCGGTTCCTTCAGGTAGCCTAATGTTATTGTTTGTTGGTTAATTTGTAAAGTTCCATTTAGTTGCAGTACATTTTCAATTATATCTTCTAATAATTGAAGTGTTGTTTTAACTTTTGTGCAATGGAAAAAGAGGTGTTGTTGATTTTCTTTATGATTTTTACATAGGTTGCATAAACCATTGGATAGTCCGATTTTACATAATTTATCTTCAGTATACAATATATTATGCACGCATTTCCATTGGAATTCTTGAATTTTATTTTTAACTTTCATTTTTGAAATACTGTCCCAAACTAAGTTCCACTGTATGTTATTTTGGTAAATATTTTCCCAATTTTCTTGACATTTTGGAATTATTGTCTTATTTAATATTTTTTCTATGTTCTTTAACTTGATATCTTCAAAGGTTTCCACTTTATTAGTATCTCTTTTTATAAGTAAATTATTATTCAATTTATAAGGGAGTTTTGTTTCGTTATTTGATACTGAGCTGTTTCTTTTCAGTATTGGATAAAACAGTTTAGGAATGGCTGATTTTATTTTACTATATTCAAATATCCAACATCTTTTGTCTACTAATTTATTAAAAATGGTGTCGTATTTAAAACAATTTTCCGCATCATTCCAAATGTCTTTAATTTTTAATAAACCACTTTTGATAAATGATTCCACATATAGGCTTTTCCCTTGGAATTGTATAAGTTTATTACCAAAGAGTGAGAGGTTAAGTATTTCCTCTCGATTCTCTGGCACAAATTTTGACTGAAATTCGCTGTATGCGATGAGTGCTTTCTTATAAAAACTAGACATGTTATTTAAGGAAATTGGAGATAAATCTGAACAAGTGCATAAGAAATATTCTTGACTTGAATGCATATCTTTACTCTGTAACCAGTATTTACCAATAGCATTCCATGTTTCTAACTTTGAATGCATGATTTTATAAATTGTTTTTATTTGTTTACTTTTTATAAAATTGAATAAATTTATCATGTTCATTCCTCCTTCGTTCTTGCTTAAGCAGCACACGTTTCTGTCAATTTTATTTAATTTATTATCCCAAATAAAAGACCAGACAATGTCATTTATTTGTTTTGCATATATATCAGGTATTCCCCTCATTTCGATTTCATAGCCAATAATTGGAATTATCAAATTTTTTATTATCAAAGTTTTCCCTTTGAATGTTAGGTTCCTAGTTTTCCAGACATGCAAGCTGTTCTTTATTTTTTCTATTTTTTCCAACCATATTGCATTAGTATCAATACCATATCCATGATTTACCCCCAAAGTTTTTATATTAGTTTTTATCCACTGTATCTTTTTAAATTTTGGTGTTTTACCTTTTGATTTGCCTATAAACAGGCCCTTTGTTTTCGAGAAATTGATTTTTGCCCCAGAGGCTTTTTCATATATTTCTAACACATTGAAGGAATGTATTATAGATTCTTCGTCCTTATTAAAAAGTTGGGTATCGTCTGCGAACATATTTATCTTACATTCTATTTTTTTATCTTTGTTAGGAATTAAAATACCCTTTATCTGCGGATTTTGTCTAATAGCACAGGCCATAGGCTCTATTTGAAGAACATATAGCAATGGAGCAATAGGGCAACCTTGTCTTGCCGATCTTGAGATTGGAAAGTATTTAGATACAAATCCATTAGTTTTAATGCATGTTTTTGATTTAATAAGAAGCATTTTTATCCAATCGCAATATTTTTTACCAAAGTTAAATCTTTTTAATGTTGCTTCTACCCAACCCCATTCAATTCTATCGAACGCTTTTTGTTGATCTAGAAATATAATTGCTCCTTCTAAATCTTCATTATCAGCATAATCAATAATATCTTGAATCAGTCTATTTGCATCACTTATGTTTCTGCCTTTAACAAATCCTTTTTGGTCTGGGTGAATTAATTTCGGTAGAACTTTTTTTAATCTCTCGGCGAGTATTTTAGCTATAATTTTATAATCATTGTTCAGCATTGTTAAAGGTCTCCAATTTTTTATATCTTCTCTTTCATTCCCTTTATGTATTAATGAAATGACTCCTTTTGTTTGCGAGTCACAAAGTGTGGCCTTATGAAAAATGTGTTTTATAACTTTTGAAAATTCGTTTTTAATTATATCCCAGTATATCTGATAAAAAGTTGATAAAATCCCATCTTCACCGGGAGATTTATTTGGCTTTAATGACATCACTGCTAGATATATTTCTTGATCGCTTATATCACTATCGAGCATGTTTACATCACAATCGTCTAATTTACATTGTACTTCCGCTAATAATAGTTCCCCACTTTCACTATCCCAACCTTCCGTATTTAGTAATTTGTAATAAAAATTAATTTGCTCTTCGATGATTGAATCAATGTCAGTTTTATAGGTACCATTTTCTGTTTTTATTCTATTCCACAATTTTTTCTCTCCATTACTCTTTTCTAATTGAAAGAAATATTTCGAAGGAGCTTCTCCTTCTTTAAACCATCTACATTTTGATCGTATTATTGCCGCTTCTGTCTTATCTATATAAATTTCTTTTATTTTTTGCTCAAGGTCATTTTGATACTTTTTATTTGTCATGGGATTGTTTTTAATTTCTTCTAATTCTTTTTCTAATTTCTCTAGTTTCTGTTTATTAACATTTAATTTTTTTGACATCTCAATACACAACGTTTTTATCTTATATTTAGTTAAGTCCCACCAGTATAGAATATCCTGACAGTTAACTAAGCTTTTCTTGTAATTTTCCCAGAATTCAACAAATGTTTTTCGGAAGTCGTCGTTTGTTAATGTTTTATGATTCATTGTCCATAACCCTGGGCCTCTTTGGATATTATCTAATTGTAGTTTTAATGTTATCAAATCGTGATCGCTAAATGGGAAATGGACAATAGCACAATTGTTTATTTTGTGTAGTATATTTTCACTTGTAAGGAAATAATCTATTCTTGATTTTGAATTGCCCCTATGAAATGTGTAACATCGTTTGTCGGGGTTTCGTTCTCGCCAGATATCCTGCAATTCACATCGTTTAATTAAATCATTAAGTTCTGATACTGCAATATCTTTTCGTAAGGGCACTGGATGCCTATCAAGCTGTTTGTTTTGAGTGCAATTAAAGTCACCGCATATAATTTTATGATGAGCTAAT